TATTCTTCTCTTTGTCTTTGGCAGTACCAAAGAACTCGGAAATCTTCGTTTTATATTGTATATAGAAAAATGTTTAAGCCTTATACTTGAAAAGTAAATAAAAAAAAAAATACAAATAATAAATAATAAATAAATAGAAAATATACCTTGTAGTTGATTTTCCGGTCTTGGAGAAGTGGAAAGAAGTGAATTTTTTTTTTGTTTTCAAGCAAAAAGGGGTTTTTAACGCTTGTTATGACGCACGTCACATAAACTTTTCGGTCCAATTCTATTGGCTCAATCCATCTCCATATGTATAATGATAAATCAATTCTGGTCAAAATAATGAGAAAATAACTGGTTTAGCAGTTATATATTTAACCGAATTTAAAAATTATACCAAACCGGTTCCAACCTCTAATTCGATTTAGTAGAATCGATTCCAATCCCTACATCTTTAACTGGACAATCAAAAAAAAATTTATTCTCATTTTATTAATTGTTTTAATCATCAAAATAGAACGAAAGTAAATTTATGATCATCACACAAAAGTAATCCAAAATAGAAATTTATTAGATTATCCTTAGCTTTTAGAACAAAAGGATTGATCGAATATTTTATTTCTTTATAAAAAGGCACTGATTCTAAACTTGGTCTGAAAAAAAAAATTGATTACAATTAAACATACCTTTGTAAAGAAATAAAAACCATGAACCGAAAATTTATTTTTGCATTAATTTTAATGGTTGTGTTTTCCACAGCCAATGCAACAACAGAATTTAGACAATGTATTTATGGTGAACTTGGCCGATCGGTAATAAAATTGCACTTTCAATTTATGCACTGTAGTAAATTAACTATATTGATAATCAATAGCCAATCTATTAAAAATTTTACGGGTTTCTTGATATTTTCTTAATTGTCCGAATAGATTCATTTCATTAAATTTACAATTTTTTCAAATAGGATTGATTATTTACTAATACTTACATAATACCGTAAATAGTTAATATACTCAGGTATTATACGAATTCAAAGAATATTTTAAATTAGATATGACTTAGAAATTACTTTAAATTATTTTTAGAAATCTTAAATCGAAAGTGTTCTACTTTAAATTGTATAAAATTTAAATGCGTTTAAAATTGTAGTTATGCTTTGAAAAGTTGCTTATAAAAACATAGGTAATTCTGTAAAAAAAAAAAAAACATCAAAATATAATATGATTACCAAGACACTTCAGTTTTTTTTTTTTTTTACTGTGTTACATGATTATTATTAAATGCAAATTTTTTTATATTCTGTGTCAAAAAAAATACTATAATGTTCTTTAGGTGCATTACAAAAATATGATGCTATCTAATGCTAACTATCACTTAATGATCAATAATTTATTGTAATTATCCTGATTTAGACCACCTGTTGGATTCGATATAAATCTATAACAAAGTTATGAGCAGTAACTCCAACAGGGACATTGATGACATATCCAGCTGTGGAAGGAGCTCCTCCAATGATAGGTGGATTCCAAAATACTTCTTGTACCGGAATATAAATTTGCTGGGTAAGAAGACCTGGTCCTGTGCAAGCAGTAGGAGCACCAGTGTAATAATCCAGAGTACCAAAGTTCCACTACAATAATTGCCCAATGGCGTGCTAATCTTACCTCTTCATAATATACGATGGTGTTGCTTGCCTAATATTAGAAATAAAAAAAATTAGAACATTTCGATCATTGAATAATAAATAGGCCGTAACACATACAATCATACACCGATCAAGTTGTCCGTTTGCATTTCGTGTGACTTTGCCTGAGTAAATTTTAGTTCCAAATACGCATTTTACATATTTGTTGTCGCATCCAAATACTACACTTTTTATTCCAATTATTAAAACTTTGGGACACAGCAATTTCGCACATTTTTCGCGCATAGGGTCTTCCCTAAATTATTACTTTGTCAGAAAACTAAGAAAAAAAAATCTCACGATGTCGGGAGTCCTTGGAGAGGTTCTACGAAATTGTATACGTCTTTGCGATGGAGGTTTTGGAATAATGTTCAAACTCGGATATATAGCAATATCAGGTGCCGATGGTTTTCCTTTTCCACGTGATCGATAGTGAGCTATTATAGGACATGAAAAAATCATAAAACTGTTAACAAGCCTAAGCAACACAAAAGGAATTTATCTTACCTGCATCGGACGGTTAATGACAAAACCTCCTTTAGGAACTTCAATAACTGATGCATGCACTGCTTTTTCCACTTCGACTATAAATACGTTTCCCTTGAATCGATGTCAAATTTATACCCCCGTGTATCATGGCGTTCAAAGAAAGTATTAATTGTTTCTATTGACAAATCCAACCTATCTATATAGGAAAACTAACATACTGTACTTAATCTATCTGTGTGATGTTCACTCTCTTAGACTCTTTTTACGCTCAAAAATTCCTTTCTAGGGTAACATTCTTATAACCATTTTTGAAAAAAATATCGTCGTATTAAGGTTATACAGTCTGGTGCAAAAGTCTTTGGACAAATATTTTTCGACATAACTTCATAACGACTGCGCCAAATCACATGGTAA